TTGTAAATTCAGGAGATGTTGATCCAGCTGTTTCTGCAATGGCTTATTTATCTATTTTTTTTAAAAGCAATTTTTGCTTTTGTAGGATTCGGTCCCGCATTCCTTCCGGATCCGTACCACTACCTCAATTCACCAGATAAACCATGATTGGAGCCACGGAATATGCGAAGACATAAAGAGTAACATTTTTAGAGCAGGTCTGATGGACTAAGCCAATAGGAATCACCTTTTTTAGCCCTCGATCTACTTCAGGAGACACACTAAGCCATCATGGTCTGTTAGTTTGCTTGGTCAGCTTAGCATCTTTCAAGAACCTACAATGATGGTTTGTAAGCCACCCTTTATGGCTTCCTTTATGTCTCTATTCTTATCGCTAGACCTCTAAGAAATGCTTTAGTTGTATCCCATAGGTTTTGTAGTGAAGTATCTTCTTTTTTCGTTTTCCTTAAAGAAGAAAATCAATTTCTTTTACTGTTGTTTGCATAAACTCTTTTTCTTTCAACATAGGTGGGTTCAGTATCCATCTCCACCTTTTCTTTTCCCCTTTCCATTTTAACTTTTATTGGGTTATATGGTCAGCCCATAAATTAGTTTCTTTTTTAAAAAAAAATTTATTCTTTAAAAACCAAAAATACAAAGGTCTCATTTCCATCAACAGTGTTTGTGTCATTGTATATACATGTTTCTCATTTTGTGACTATATATCATTTTAATCTTTATTCTTCACCCATTCGTACCACCTCTCCCATATCGCATAATATCCTCAATCATCTTGGCCTTTTACTTCCAGAGTGAATTTAGCACAAAATTGGAAGAGCGATAAAATACCACCAGATGAAGTTCTAATGCAAAAAATAATGGACTGTGCTGAACTAGAAATTAGTTTCTATCTCTATCTCTTGCACCTTAGTTCTTAATTCAAGTGAACTCCAAATCATGTCAATTCTAGACCATGACTTGTGCCTATTTGAATAGAATGTGTATTGATTTTCCCCCGGATTCATTTCTCTTCATACATCCTGCGTAGAGATTTCTTCTGCCATTTGAAAAAAAAAATGCCGTTGGGACAGTGGTGGGATTCAAATGTTTTTACTACCGGTTCTGTGGGTGTGGCTTGGTGGGCGTGGCAGGGGAAAGATACTGCAAAATCCCCATTCCCTCCCCACCTCACTAACCTGCTTTCCAGCTCCGTTCTCCTGTGCAGGGCAACCAAAGGAGACCCAGCCAATCAGCTGGGACTCCATGGGAGGCAGAGAATGGATGGGGTTGGTGGGGCCAGTCAGAGGTGGGATTTAGAGCCACACAAAAATTCTGCTACCGGTTTCTATGAACTACTCAAAATTTCCGCTACCAATTCTCCAGAACTAGTCAGAACCTGCTGAATACCACCTCTGCCTTGGGAGTATCTTCCTTGCTTTCTTTCCAGTCATGCTACTTTCTGTAATCTAATCTTGCATCTGCAATTGCATAAAAATCTCCTACAACACAAATATTTTCATATTCCCATTCAAGTATCTTTTGAGGCTGGGTCCTAGTTCGGTGCTTGTATCAAACACTTTGAGGTCTCTCCCGGGTGTGAAGAACATTTCAAGGCAGCTCAGCATTGCGGTTGCCGAAAGTGAGAAGATGGTTGTGGGTGGCAAGCGAGACGTCTTGTGAGAAAGGAAAGGTGGAGGTTTTGCCTAGACTTGCACAAGGAGCCACACAACCTTTGTTCATCCGTGGAGGAAAGTGGGAAAAGGGCACTCATTTGAACTGGCAGACAGGATGCGGAAAATTTACTCTTTCCTCCCTCCTTTTCCTCCCTTCTGATCAGAGTGGTGTTTCTTAACCTTAACATGTGTGAACTACAACTCCTAGCTCCCAGCTTCAGCCAGCTTCAGTGGTTTTCAACTCTCAGTATTCCCCAGCCAGCTTTTGTGGACTTCAAGTCCCAGAATTCCTTAGCTGGCACTTGTGGACTTCATGTCCCAGAATTCCTTAGCCAGCACCTGTGGACTTCAACTCCTAGAATTCCTTAGCCAATATCTATGGATTTCAATTCCCAGAATTCCTTAGTCAACATTTGTAGACTTCACCTTCCCAAATTCTCTAGCCAGCATCTGTGATCCCTAATTCCCAGAATTCCCTAACCAGCATTTGTGGATTTCAACTGGCTGAGGAATTCTGGGAATTGAAGTCCATTCATCTGACAAATTCTGGCAAGGAGATTTTTTTAAAAATTTCCTTGCCCTCCCTGTCTCTCTGTTTGCAAGAAAGTCCTTCTCTCTTCCTGTTCAGTTGGAAACGCACGTAGCATTAAGCCAGGGTTAGTTGAAGCAACCATAATGGGCTGGCTTAATCGATGGCTTTAAGCCACAAACCATAGTTTATACCACAGGGCTTATCCCAGCCACTTCAGGACTGATTTGAATCTGAATTTAGTTGTCTATTCAAGACATTAATTTAACTGCTAATAAAACAGGCCAGATGCTGTACCTATTGCACCTACTCTCACAGGCAGGGTTGAACAAATCAAGATGAAGGCCACACCTGCCCAATTAAAGCCCTATTCCATTTTTTTTAGGTGTGTCATGTGTGCAAGTCTGCTAAACAGAAACAGGTCTTCCATTGCACAATTGCAGCTATAGAATTATAGAATAACAGAGTCGGAAGGGTCTTTGAAAGTCTTCCAGTCCAGCCCACTGCTAAGGCAGGAAACCCTATCCCATTTCAGACAAATGGTTGTCCAACCTCTTCTTTAAAAACTTCCAGGGTTGGAGCATTTAAAACTTCTGGAGGCAAATTGTTCCACTGAAAAAATTTCTTCTTAGGTCTAGGTTGTTTCTCTCCTTGGTTAGTTTCCATCCGTTGCTTCTTGTCCTGCCTTCAGCAGTTTTGGAGAATAGCTTGGCGCCCCTCTTCTTTGGGGCAGCCCCTGAGATATTGGAACACCGCTTTCATGTCCCCTGTAGTCTTTCTTTTAATGAAACTAGACATACCCAATTCCAGCAACCATGTTTTAGCCTCCAGTCCCCTAGTCCTCTTGGCTGCTCTTCTCTGCACCCTTTCTAGAGTCCCAATATCTTCTTTTTACATCGTGGCGTCCAAAACTAGATGCAGTGTGCCAGGTGTGATCTTACCAAGGCATTATCATTTGCATCTTTTTTGGCATGCGCATCACCCAATGGATCTTTCTTCTCTTTTTCCAGTGGAATATGTAAATTAAAATAGTAAAAAAATTCTAAACAAAACCTTTTTTTTTGTCACCGAATAACCTGTTTTTAACAATCTGGCTTGCCGGCTCCTCCTTTAAAATACACTTATTTTGCAATTTTACATCAGTTTAAAACAGGTTTCCTAGAGAAATTCGACCGAAAAGTTAAATCTTGGGAAATTTGTGCTGAGCTTTTGAAAGGTTGGTTTCGCCAAACGCACTAAAATAGAAAATAAAATCACATTTCGGATGGTTGTCACGTAGTCCGTATTATCTGGGACTCATCATTCTGAACTAAATCAAAAAGAGGGAGTCAACTAAATGAGTAAAATTAACTGCTTTTTGTAGGTGGGTTGTTTTTAACACTGATCCAGATGTGTGTGATATACACAAGTGTCAGTCAAAATATATTTCTAAGATCTCTCTTTTTAAAAAAATAAAAGCCAAACTTTTAAAAAGTCAAATCACTGTACAGGTAGTCTTACAACCACAACTGAACACAAAATTTATGTTGCTAAGTGAAAAATGAGTTTTGCCCCATTATGAACCATTTATCAAGCATCCAAATATTGCTCAGGTAACCATAGAGATGCGACAATGGTCATAAGTGTGAAAAATGGTCGTACAATGGTCGCCATTGTAACTTTGAATGGTCACTAAACGAATTTTGGAAGTTGAGGGCTACCTAGCATCATTCTTTAGTAAGACAATGTAGATAAAAAAAAATGTTTAACCGCCAAAGGTTTTTTAACATCTAAAATACTTCTTCAGGGGGTCTGCTGGCAGGGCAAAACATTACAATATTGGATTATTTTGATCTGGTGATTTATGGATTTGCTGATCAAAGAGGGTTGAACGTGGGAAGAAAGGAAAGATATTTTAAAAATTTTAAAGAGGGAAGGGTAAGGATTGGTTTGCTTGCAAGTGCTCTAAAGATGAGGAATCGCTTCTTTGTATACCTTTCCTTTCCTGGTCTCTTTGGGAGTTTTTCTGTTAGATTTTTCTTTTTCTATCTCTCTCTTCACTTTTTTCTTTCCTTCCCGCCTCCCCCTTTCTTTCAACTTCACTTTGTGGGTCTGTATTTCTTCCATTGTATCATGTCTGACCCTAACCCTAACCCTGCCAAGGTTTTTGCTACAGGTTGCAAAGATGGGCGTGTTGGAAGAAATGTCCATCTGGGTTCAGTTCCAAGTGAGAAAAGTGGGGAAAGAGACACTGGAAACATGGAGGCTATTTGGAAAGATGGTTTAATTGTGGACAGGATCACATGGCTTGGAGATCCTGGGTGAAAAGGGAAAGAGATGCTGAGAGTGCCTGGGTTTTATGCCCTCTGTTGGGATTTGAATTTGATCTTGTATTCTGATTGGTTGTCAGACTCCCATGAGGCCACGCAGGGGCAACTCTGTAGGCTGTCCTGAGTCCCAGGCTTGGTTGAGCCTTGCTGGACGATGATGTAATGAAAGGGCTTTGGACAATTCCTATTATGGCTCTACCTGGAGTAGATCTTTGTTATGTAGAATAGACTGACCCAGGCCAGAGTAATTGTCCATTAGCAAAGGTGTGGGGGGCTGAGTTTCTGCCTCTGATTTTCTACTTTTCTTTTTAGGGGAAATATTCTGCCTTTTTAGTATATCCTAAAATATTTCATTTTCCTAGGAGAGGGGTGAGTTTTAACTTCCACCAGGAGGCTTAAAAAAAACAAACAAACCCTAGCACTAAATATATATTTCCCCTTTGCAAAAGTGTTTTCTAGGGTGAGATCCATACCATCCCAAACTGAAAAAAAAAAACACACCAGGAGAGGTTCATATCCAAAGTATATTTTATTGTTACAGATCAAAACACCAGCTAAGCTGAAGAATAGTGGTGAAGTACATCTGGAAGGCAGGATGTTACAGTGGGAAGGGGAAAATGGGGATCAGGAATCGTCCCAGGGTCTTTCTAGGATGAATTCACAAGTGCAACACAGAACTTGAGTTAATACGAGACCGGAAAGGGGAGAGAAAGTTAAGAAAGGCCAAATGGCGGCCTCTCGTTCAAGGGGATGATGGGATTTTTGTGCAAAGCAGCATGTGGTTAGTGCAGTCTTTCCCCACTCCCACTCCCCCCATGGTGCTCTCTCCAGATGTGTCAGCCTGCTAGCCCAACACTGGAGGACATCACGCCACACATCTGGAGGGCTCTCAACCAGTTGGGAAGGTTAGGTTAATACATGGCTGGCCTGTCAAGAAAGACCCATCTCAACCCAGAGGCCCTCAAAGCTTTGAGGTTCCCCTCGGTTTCCAAGGAGACGAAGCGGGAGCATCGCTGAAGGTGATCGAGGGCCATCTCACGCTTCCTGGTTGATCTCTTCCACCCCGGTCTCTGCTTGGACGCCTATGTCCTCCAAAATGGGGTTGACCAACTGGCGGAGTTTGTCAACGGCTTGGTCAAAGGCATTTTTCACTTCCTGGAGCCTCTCCTGGAACTGTTTCTTGAGCTCCTGGACGCGGCTGTTGAGCTGCTCTTGGACCATTCGGCCTTGCTCGCCGATGGCCTGTTGCAGGGCCTGGATCCGCTGCTGCCCCTTTTCGCGGACGTTGGAGAAGTAGGGCTCCAGGTTCTGACGGACGGAGCTGACCTTTTCCTCCGCGTTGGTCCTCATCTCTTCGGTGTAGGCCCTCAGCTTCTGACGCAGCTCCTCGGCGTCCTTGGTGAGGCGCTTCTTCATCTTGCGCAACAGCAGGTTGAACTGGGACTTCACGTTGTCCACGTTGTGGTCGATGACGAGTTGGGTGTCCCGGGAATACTGGAGCAACTTGGCCTTGGTCTCTTCCATGTCGTTTCTCAGCTTCCCAGTCAGGGCGGACACTTCGGTCACTAGGCGCTCCTGCAGTTCCTGGGTATAGGGGCCAAACTTGGAACGCAGGTCCTCCGTGTAGATTTCCACCTCACCGATGGTGTCAGTGATAAGGCCACTGGGGAGACAGAGAAGTCGGGCCAGTGGTCAATTCCTCGGGTGCATCAGATTTACATAGTTAAGCTGTTGGTCTAGGTCCTGGGAGAGCCATTTTGGTTTAGGATCAGGCTAGAAATTAGGAGACTGGGAGTTCTAGTTCTGCCTGAGGCACAAAAGCCTGCTGGGGGACTTTGAGCCAATCAATAGGAGATTGTGAGTTCTAGTCCCACCTTAGGCACGTAAGCCAGCTGGGTGACTTTGAACCAATCACCAGGAGACTGGGAGTTCTAGTCCCGCCTTAGGCAGGAAAGCCGGCTGGGTGACTCTGGGCCAATCCCCAGGAGATGTTGAGTTTCAGTCTCACCTAAGCAAGAAACTTGGCCTGGTGCCTTTGGGACAACCACTGGGAGA